GCGCGCGCTCCTCTCCCCTCCCCCAGGCGTCCTGGAACATGGGCATGCTGCAGAGCGAGGACCTCGTGAAGTCTGTCCAGGCCACCATGCAGAAGCAGGAGCTGAAGAGCGTCACCTTCTCCAAGCTCTGAGAGCCTTGGTGTCCCCAGGCCCCGGGTCTGGCCGCCTCCGCCTGTCCCTGCTTCCTCCGCTGGGAGGGAGGATGCCGAAGACGGTCTCAGTGCCCTCTCACCCCATCTCCTGGTTTCTAACCTGATGACAGGACCCTATCTCATGAATAAAGCAGCTGAAGAACTCTACGCCCTTTTTGGGGGTGGGGGGAAGGGCCGAGACTCCCCTGAGGCCACAAGGGCTGCAATCAAAGATCGGGGATGGGGACTTGACCAAGGGCTGGGGGCCACGCTGATGATGATGGTCCAGAACGTCAGGGGCGTTGGAGAGAGATTAAGGCTTGGGTCTCAGGGCTGCCAGGCCAGCCTGAGCACTCCACTCCCAGGTTGAGGGTGATTTGGGCCCTGTCTGGCACCGCTCTCTGCACAGCTCAGTGGGAGCGGTGCTGGCATCTGGCTGGAGTTTCATTGCTGCTCAGTCATGAGCCAATCACCTCATTTATTTTTGGGTTTTTTTGGTGGCTGTTGTTTTGTTTTGAGTCATAGGCTCACTCTGTCACCCAGGCTGGAGTGCAATGGCATGCTCACGACCACCACAGCCTCAGCCTGCTGGGCTCAGGTGATCCTTCCACCTCAGCCTTCCAAGTAGCTGGAACTACAGGCAAGCACCACCACAGGCTAATTTTTAAAATTTTATTGCAGAGACAGTCTCCCCACATTGTCCAAGCTGGCCTCGAACCTCTGGGCTCAGGGAATCCTCTTGCCTCTCGCTTCAGCCTCCCAAAGTACTGGGATTACAGGCGTGAGCCACCCAGTCCGACTACCTCATTATTTGAACAGGTCCTTCCCACCTCTTGGATTTATGTTTGGAACAAGTGTAAGACACCAAGCATTAATTTAGTGCCTTCTATATAACAAATCCGGTGCTGGGCATTTATTAACTTAGTGATTTCCCTCAAGAACTCTATGAGGTCCTCGATATATTATTGTCCCCATTTTGCAGATCAGCAAAGTGAAGGTAAGACTGACCCAAGGGCACACAGCCAGGAGAAGGGGCAGAGGCAGGATTTGAACCCAGAACCTCTGAGTGTTGCCACTAGTTCTCTGAGCCACTGCATACAATACACATACAATGTGCATGTAAGACACGAGCAGGTCCTTTCACTGACTGGAAGAGTCAGGAACAGCCAGTCCCTCCCTGCTTTCTCCTGCTCCAGCAGCCCACCTGTGCTCGGGCACTCCTGCAGCCCTACCCTGCCCTGCCCAGCCCATCCCGACTGGTCGCATCCTCCAACTGCCAACAAAGCTCCTGGCAGGGTTTTGTTTTGTTTTTTTGTTTGTTTGTTTGTTTTTTTTTGAGTTGGAGTCTCACTCTGTCACCCAGGCTGGGGTGCAGTGGCATGCTGCTCACTGCCACTGCAGCCTTGACCTGTTGGGTTCAGGTGTTCCTTCACCTCAGTCTTCCTAGTAGCTGGAACTACAGGTGTGCGCCACCACACCCAGCTACTTTTTTGATTTATTGTAAAGATGATGTCTCACCGAGTTGCCTAGGCTGGTCTTGAACCTCTGGGCTTAGGTAACCTCTCACCTCGGCCTCACAAAGTGCTGGGATTATAGACATGAGCTACCACACTCGGCCGAATTGCCTCATTTTTAAAAACAGAGCCTTCCAACTTCCTGGACTTATGTTTGGAACAAGTACAAGCATTAATTTAGTGCCTTCTCTACAACAAGTCCTGTGCTGGGCATTTGTTAACTTAGTGATTACCTTCAAGGACTCTGTGGGGTCCGTGATGGTATTAGTATCCCCATTTTGCAGATGGGCAAATTGAGAGCAAGACACTGACCCAAGATTACACAGCCAGGAAGTAGCAGAGGCAGGATTTGAACCCAGAACCTCTGGGTGCTACCACTAGTGCTCTGAGCCACTGCATACACTACACGTACAAGACAATGTGCATGTTAAACATGAACAGGTCCTTTCACAGCTGCTGGGAGAGCCAGGAACAAGCAGTCCTCCCTGCTTTCTCCTGCTTCCGCTGCCCACCTGTGCTGGGACATTCCTCCAGCCCTGCCCTGCCCCACCCAGCCCACCCCTCCTTGACTCACCCTCTGCCAACAAAGGCCCGGGCAGGGTTTTATGGACTCTGATAAGGCCCTGGAGGGTCGAAGTTCACCAGCACTTCCTCTTTGCAGGAAGGCTCAGGGGAGGGGACCCATGTGATGTGGGTCCTAGCTGTCATGGGAAGGCTGGTGGGGAAAGGGCAGCTAGGGTGTACTCTAGGAGAACCTGAGAGCCTCGGAGGCCAGAAGAGGACCCGTGGATCCTCCCCTGCCAGCCACTCCCTCGCCCTTGGGTTTAAGAGCCACCCACGCTCTGCCAGCGACCTCCGCTTCCCACTCCTGCAGCTCTGATCCCGGGACGAGCCACCAACCCAACCTTTTGAGATGGCCTATGTCCCCGCGCCAGGCTACCAGCCCACCTACAACCCGGTGAGATACCGGCCCAGATCCCTACCCCTGGCCCTGGCTTTGCTCTGTCCTGATCCCCCACACCCGGAGTGGGGTCCTTGGGGGCCCCACCTGACCCTTGGTTCTGAGTGACCCAGGGCTGACCCCGAGCCTCAATTTACTCCCATCTGACGTTTGGGCTGTCTGTGGCCACACCTGACTCTCGCTCTTTGTGTCCTCTCCTCTGCCTGAGGGACTGGGGGGCTTTTCCGGGAGGGGCGGAGGCTGCCACAGGCAGATGGTCCGAGGCCCCTCACAAACCACTTCTGCAGACGCTGCCCTACTACAAACCCATCCCGGGTGGGCTCAGCGTGGGCATGTCCATCTACATCCAAGGAGTGGCTAGCGAGCACATGAAGAGGTGAGACCCCGGCTGGGTTGGAATGGTAGAGGTTGCAGGGGGCGGGGGCTCTGGGCTCAGCGGGAGGGGGCCTGCCGTCCTTCCTCCTCCCTGGTGGATTGGCCCTCTCTGCCATTTAGCCAATGGCCAGAGACCAGCCTGGATCAGATCAGGAGAGGAGACTTGGGGTCAGGAAGGGCCCACCGTGTGGGGTGGCCCCGGTGTTGGACATTGGACTGGAACTGATGGGTGTGATTGCAGATAACCGGTTCAGAACTGGGCCCTGAGTTCTGGTCCCAGCTCTGCCACACACTGGCTCTGTGGCTCAGAAAGCTACTGTCTCTCTCTGTGCTTTCCTTTCCTGTCTGTGAAATGGGATTGTTGTGAGGATTCAGCATGAAAAACAGTGAGAATTGCAAAATAATTGCTGTAATTTTTTTTGAGGTGGGGACTTACTCTGTCACCTAGGCTGGAGTGCAGTGGCACAATCACAGCTACCACATCCTTGACCTGCTGTGCTCAGGCGACCCTTTCTTCAGCCTTCCAAGTAGCTAGAACAGCAGATGCACACCACCTGGCTAATTTTTTTTGATGTATCGCAGAGACAAGATCTCGCCTTGTTGCCCAGGTTCATCTCAAACTCTTGGGCTCAAGCGATCCTCCCGCCTTTGCCTCCCAAAGTGCTGGGGTGTCAGATATGAGCTACCTTATCCGGCCTTGTAATAAGTCTTGAAGTCTTTGCTTAATTTTTTGTATTATTTTGGTTCTAATCCAGTATGACGGGTATTGAAGTCTCAGCTTTCTCCTGGGTCTTACCATGGTGATAACAATTGAACTGACCTCATAGGTTTTTGTTTCTTTATTGACTGTCCATTCTGTGCCTTAGCACTGGATGTAGAGTAATGAACGGACAGAGACCCCCGCCCTTGTGGAGCTGACATCCTTGTAGGAGAGAAAGATACAAAATCAATCAGTCAAATATGACACATGTCCAATGCTGCTAAGTGCTGTGGAGAAAACGAGGGAAGGGGATGGGGTGTTTATGTGGGGACAGGGGTGGCGTTGCCCCTTTAAATAGGGTGGCCAGAGAAGGCCTCCCTGGGAGGGGAACATTTCACCTAGGACCTAAAGGAGGCGAGGGAGATTCCTTGGGGAGAGCTGAGGGGCAGAGAGCAGGGATTCCCAAGAGCAGTTGGAATCCCTCCCAAGGTGAGGACAGGGCCTGGCCCACGACCGACGTGGAACAGTCATGATTAAAACTGGAGAGAAGCTGGGCTTAGTGGCTCAGCCTGTAATCCCACGCCTTGGGAGGCTGAGGTGGGTGAATTGCCTGAGCCCGCGGGT